CAGAATCCTCTAGTTTGAGTTCCTCCCATAACTATCCATTCATAAATTCTTGACAGAAGAATGATGTTGTCTTTGTTCCTAAATTCTATCACATGTTAATAATGGCAATGTATCTGTATTTTGGTGAAACTTTACACACTGGATCAGTTAAGAGACAATATACATCAGCATTATTAATATCACTGTGGAAAATGTATTATGGAACATGGATCTGTGCCTGATCCTTTTGAAAGGTAAATCCAAATTATGCAAAGAAGTACAGTATATCTTTTCTTAATTCATAGTTTTATTGCAGTTTTTATACACTGAAAAAGAAACAGCAATATACTGAAATGAGAGCAACTAGCTAATTTTGACTCACACACTGTGCTGTCATAAAATAAGATTTAGAAGCCACAAAGGGCAAATGCTAGAACAAAGCCCAATAAAACATGCTATGCTTAGTGTGACTTAAGAATGTGCTTCAGATAAAGAACTAGAGAATAGGAAATATTTTCTTGTTCTACTATGATTTAAAATAGGAGTTGTCAACTTTTTCTAATATTTATAATAATTAATTACATTGTACATGTAATATCAGCATAGATTAACTCTAAGGTTAACATCAGACCAACGATCAAGGAAACAACATCCCAATCAAGAATCTGCCAAAGAAGCGAACAGCAAACAACCCAACCAAAGAATCCCTAACCACCCCCACCAACACTGGCAAGCCACTAGAATATAAACTGACAGCAACCCACACTTCTTACTAGCACTGATGATGTTACCTAGTTCGGATAGTGAAACGTCTGCAAGAAAACAAGCAAGCAAGCTCAGAGAGCACCAAGGACCTCACATTTAATATGTACTTAACTTCCAGTGACTCTAGACAATTGCTGTCTAGATTGTTTAAAACATTAAAAATGAAATAATAAAACAAAACATAAAAAGTAAAAGACAGCAAAAGTGACAAAACAACTCTCACAATCAAAAGAGGGTTTCGGTCACGCTACCCAAAAGGACTAGGTGAAGAACCTGATCTTCAAAACAATAGCAGAGTGGGGACAATATGAATCTTGGTGCACGCATGTGTGTGTGTGTGTCCCCTAATTTCAGAGGGCAGGTATGCACAATTCTGGGCTCCTGACAGAAGACATCATAAAGGAGAATATTCGTAGATTGAAATGAGGAGAGCCTTTGGTGCTCTCTGACCTTGCTTGTTTTCTTGCAGATATTTCATTACGCTAACTAACCTCCTCAGTGCTAGCAAAGTGTGTGGGTTTGCTGTCAGTTTATATTCTAGTGTCTTGCCTGTCTGTGTGGGTAGGGATTCTTTGGTTGGGGCTATTTACTGATGGCTCTTTGGAAGTTTCTTGATCGCAGTATTGCTTAGTTAATTGCTGGTCTGAATTTAACCTTGGAGTTAATCTATGCTGATCGGGGTGCTGATTCCTAGTGGATAGGTGCTGGAGTCTTTTTCTCTTTGGGGCTGGTTGATTGTCTCTCTTGCATAGTCTATAGATGTTGTTAATGCCTATGTGTCTATTGATGGCTAATTCATTTAATCGTTTAATCAAAATAACCCAGAGTTCACCAACAGTGCCAGTTTCAACTGGAGAGGTAGATACTATAGGAAAGTGGAATTCAAAGGCAGCCCCAGGGTTTCCTTCTGAACTTCAATTACCTCTGTGGCCCCTCTCCATAGTTGCCATTAGCTGGAACCAGGTACCTTACCATATGCAGTGCTTATTAATATAAACTGTATCAAACTATTTGTAGTAGCTAATAAAAATGATTGTTTATGCAGACGAGAAATTAGCATAGTGAATAAGATGTGGTTATAACAAACTGTCCATAATAGCTAGAAGTTAAGGTTGCCTGACCCCCTAGAAATATGGTATGGTTCCCTGGTGGGGAGGCACCATGTGTTTCACACTGAGAATCACTAATCTAGAATAGAAGTCTCCAACCTTGGCAACTAAGATTTGTGGACTTCAACTCCCAGAATTCCTCAGCCAGCTGGCTAAGGAATCCTGGGAGTTGAAGTCCACAAGTCTTAAAGTTGTCAAGGTTGGAGACCCCTGATCTGTAAGGCCACATGACTTCTATGTTTTGCCTGTAGCACCTACAACAGGGGTGGGTTTCTACCGGTTCTGTCCACCTCTGTAGAACCGGTAGCTCTGAAGAGCAGCAGACATAGAACCGGTTCTATGTCTGCTGATGTTTTTTGCCTTCTCACCCACCCGGGCTTTTACCTGACCTTTATTTCCTGATTTTTCAACTTCAGCTGCCGAATGAGGCACAGCTGCAGTTAAAAAACAAGAAAAGAGGGCTGTTTCAAAGGCTGCTTCTCGGCATGCAGCGTGTTAATGATGATTAACAGGTGCGTGGCTCAAAGCGGTCAGGGAAGCTCATAAATCCCAAACCGGTAGTTAACCCTGTTGTATCACACCCCTGACCTATAATACATACATACATAAATGAATGAATGGATGAATGATAATGATCTTCCATTACTAAAGATGAGCCACTTGTGTATTGAATATGTGACTGCAGTTACAGTGTAATGACAGTGACATTCCTGCTGAAAAATATATGAGAAACAAGATGATTAAAAAAGGCACAAGCACAGTGTCCCTATTAGATGTTGACAACCTGGATAGAGAAGCAAACACTTTCCAAATTCATAGATAAAATCACCTTCGATGCAGCTATATCATGTTGACAAATGCCTGATTCATTTGATATGGTTTCTTGCCCCTTCTTTCTTGGGGGAAAAGAAATGCATTCATAGTCATATAAAGCATCTAAGATACACTTGAGATACCAAAGGAAGGCAACTATGAGTCCCTCAAATATGTGAGCTCATAGCATTTAGTGCAACAGTTTATACGGCACTGTGGCTGGGTTCATCCATACTAAATTTAAGACTATGGCATTATAGCTGGCTTAACATATCATATGAAGTCAATCACTGTGTAGTTTGTAAGCAACAGTTATATCTTTGAATCAGTGGTGGGATTCAAATTTTTTTACTACCGGTTTTGTGGGCATGGCTTGGTGGGCGTGGCAGGGAAGGATACTGTAAAATCTCCAGTCAGAGGTGGTATTTTCTGGTTCTCTGAACTACTCAAAATTTCCACTACCGGTTCTCCAGAACTGGTCAGAACTTGCTGAATACCACCTCTGCTTTGCATGTTCTGGAACTCCAACAATGATTTTTAATAAATCACTGTTATAGAGGTCACTGTACAGCCAGGGGTGGGATTCTACCAGTTCACACCTATTCGCTAGAACCGGTTGTTAACATTCTAAGCAGTTCGGAGAACCAGTTGTTAGAAGAAATTACTGGCCTAATCCTGTAAGGAAGGCAGGAAGGAAACATTCTGGTGTTGCTTACAGAAACTGCCTCTCCGTTAACCCTTATTACATTCTTGGCAGGACTAGACTTCCTGTCTCTGGAACTTCTCTGGAGTTTTTCCCCCCCTCTTTTGCTGGTACTTTGCTTGTGTGGAGTGACCATTCAAAGTTACAACGGCACTGAAAAAAGTGACTTAAGACCCCTTTTCACACTTACAACTGTTGCAGCATCCCCACAGTCATGAGATGCGTGCCTTGATGTGAGTGATATTGAGTTGGCCACGCCCAGCCAATAACATGACCTCCAAGCCACATCCACCCAGTCACATGACCACCAAGCCACACCCACCAACTAAGCCATGCCCACAGAACCGGTTGTTAAAAGATTGAATCCCACCCCTGTGTACAGCTTAATACAATGTACAAGCAAGGCAGTTGCTCTATATTGTCTTCTCATTATTAATCGATCTCTTAGGCCTCTCTTACTACATCCCTGATTTTCAATTGGTGGGCAAAGAGATTACATGCAACTGAGTTGGGTGTGAGTCTACAATTTTTAACCTGATGAAGCTTGTGCAGCCTAAAGTAGGAGCAATCAAAACTTCTTGCTCCTTAATTTCTTAAGTTGCTGTCTTTGATTTAAGACATCAAGTCAGCGATGACTCTTAGTAACCACCTAGGTATTTCCTCCAAGGTAAGTTTAAATCCTGGTGACATAGGTGTTAAAATTTAATTATTACAAGTGTTTTATTTATTTCTTGCCAAACTCTAACACCAATGAAATCTTCTTATGGGATGGGGGGGTGGGGGAAAATGTTGCACACAAAAAAGTGAGTTTTAGAAGGCTGAGGTACTGCAAAGTTTGTGAACCATACCTGTACTGTACGATCTTACATTCTTTTAAAGAGAAGACATAGGGGTACCAGTTTTGAGATGTCCTGGGAATCAAGTCTATTTCTGAGGCAGCTTTCCGGACTCTGCCTAGCATCATCTTGCTGGCAATTTTCGAAGGCGAATTCCACTCTGCATCAAATTGGGAAGCTTATTCAGTACTGTCTGCTAGGAAAAGGGTGAGAATTAAAAAGCTCTGTGACTTTTTCTTGGCTTGCCTACTGACTTAATGGCAGCGCGTTATTGAAATAGCACTTAGACTTATACACCACTTCACAGCGCTTTACATACAGCCCCCTCTAAGCGGTTTACAGAGTCAATATATTGCCCTCAACAACCTGGGTCAGATTCAGACAGCGCAATGAGCCACAGAGTGATTGTCTTTGGACGTTCTCAGTCATCCAGGTTATAATTGTTTCAAAGGTGCTTTTTCCTTCAAAAGTGATCTGTTGTTGTTTTTTTCCTGAGGGGAAAAAAACAACAACGTTTCGCCTCTCTTCCAATAAGTTCCACACAGAACTAACTAACCCTACTAACCCTAACACGCAGAGGTAACTAACCCTATCTCAGTTTCGGGAGGCGCGAATGGCGCCGCCCTGTGTCAACGCTTGGCAAACGTGAGAAACCCCGCCGCTCTCAAGCTGCTCTCTTGTCATGGGCAGAGGGCGGATGGACTTCCCTCTTTGGCCTCAAGGGGAGATGATTTCCCAGCTGCAGGCGATAGCCGCACCTTCCCGCCCGCTCTCCTTCCTTCCTTCCTTCCACGTGATCTGTAGTCAAACAAGGTTCCGACTTTCGTTTCTTTCTGCTGAGGAAACGGGCCTTTTTCTTTATTTATGTATTTTTAGCGAGAAAGCTTCTTCGGGTATCTTGCAGTCTCTTTGGCTTGTCCCGCCGTCGGAAAGACTCTTGCGCGTCAATCCAGCTGTGAAAAGCCGGCCGAGTGGAGTAGGGGAAACGCCTGCGTGCAAATCTATTGCAAGCAATCTGCTGGCAGAGTTCGAAAGCGAAAGTAAACTTTCTCCGTGGAGGATAGCGGTGAGCCATTTTTATTTTTAAACTATAGAAAGCGAAGGATCCGGTCAACACCAGGATCGTTGGAGGTGTAAGATCGTACTATGCGCTTTAATTCGGCCCGGTTGGCATGCACGTAACTGAACTAGCCTAAATTAGAAATAGGATTAGTTAGCTCTGCGCATAGTCTGAGTAACCGATGGAACTTATTGGAAGTTCCATCCCCCTGCTAACTTCCTCCGGAGTTTGAACTTTGCCCCAACATTCAATACCACTTGGCTTGATTTCGAAAACAAAACAGCGTCGGCCCGGTTAGTATTACGGTGGGGCTTCATCTGACATTTCATTTTATTCCCATTTAACTTTTTAATTAGTTTATCAAAGTATAAAATACAAAGAGAAAAAAAACATGAAAAAGTAAGAAGAGAGGGACGGTGGCGGGGAAAGGGATATAGTGTAAAGGGAGAGAAAAAAAGAAAAAGGCACCGACTTCCAACTCTCAATAGAAAGTAACAACATTATAACCACAACTTTATCTGACATTTCTGGGTTTGTTTGTTTTTTTGTTTACCGGAGCTTGGAAATACGGAAAAAGCCCGATTGCTTTTTTTAAAAATGCTATCTTCCAATCTACTTAATAAAATAAGCTTGCTCATGAAAGAATGAATATAAGGAATCTACATAGACAGAGCTATTATCCTGTTATTGAATTAGTCCTGTTTTACTTCTAGTTCTGATATGTTGTAGGTGTATTTTAAAACACTCATTTAGATAGATACCGTAGATTATTGGCCAAGTGTGATTGGACACACAAGAAATTTGTCTTGGTGCAAATTTAAAAAAGATACATTTGTCAAGAGTCAAGAATCATCAGGTACAATACTTAATGATAGTCATAGGGTACAATAAGCAATCAAATATACTAGGAAACAGACAATATAAATAGTAAGGATACAAGCGACAAAGTTACAGTCATACAGTCACGAGTGGGAGGGGATGGGCGATAAGGAGTGATGACAAGATTAACATTAGTGCAGACTTTGTAATAGTTGAACAGGGTTGAGGGAATTATTTGTTTAGCAGAGTGATGGCTTTCGGGGAAAAACTGTTCTTGTGTCCAGTTGTTCTGGTGTGCAGTGTTCTATAGCGTCATTTTGAGGGAAGGAGTTGAAACAGTTTATGTCCAGGATGTGAGGGGTCTGTAAATATTTTCACAGCCCCCTTTTTGACTTGTGCAGTATACAGGTCCTTAATGGAAGGCAGGTTGGTAGTAATTGTTTTTTCTGCAGTCCTACTTACCCTGTGTCTGTCCTGTTGGGTTGCAGAACCAAACCAGACAGTTATAGAGGTGCAGATGACAGACTCAATCATTCCTCTGTAGAACTGTATCAGCAGCTCCTTGGGCAGTTTGAGCTTTCTGAGTTGGCGCAGAAAGAACATTCTTTGTTGTGCTTTTTTGATGACATTTTTGATGTTAGGTGTCCATTTTAGGTCATGTGATATATAGTAGAACCTAGAAATTTGAAGGTCTCTACTGTTGATACAATGTTGTCTAGTATTGTATCTAGTATTTGCTTAGGTGAAATGTTCCAATAAAATATTGGTTAATGAAACCATTTTGAATGGTGGTTGGCAAAATTGTTGGAAATTATTCCAATAATTCACAATTTATTTCAATTTCATATCTGATGGGAAAAAATGAAACTCTTGGAAATGTAAAAAACAGCTTTTGATGCAAAATGGAAAGAAACTTCCATTTTTGTTTTGCAGACTATGGCAGAAGATAAACTTTCAAAAATATTTACAAGTGAGACTGAACTACTGGAAGAACTAGAAAAATGGAAGGTAAATTTTTACAAACTCTTGAGGTTTTCCAATGATAGTGAAGCTGTCTATACATACTATAACAACAAGAGAGGCTGTGCTTTTCTGCTAGTCCTATTTAATTGGCAATCCTGCAACTGCATTAATGGATTCTTAATTTGCGCAGGAAAAGCTGGATAAAATTGAGAAGCAAAAGTCTGAAATCCTTCTTTCAAAACTTGACCTTGATGAGCAAAGAAAAATGAAGCAAAAGGCTCTGGCAGATCTACTAGCTCAAAGTAATAAGCAGGCAACTGAAAGAAAGAAGATACAGAAGAACCAACAGGTAAAGAATGGATATATCCACGTTCCATCAGTTTAAAGAATAGAACTCAACCTTGATGCTGGGAAGTGTGAATGTTTACAGAGTGATATTGAGTCAAATTTGCCAACATTTGACTGGAGGCCCCTAATTGGTAGCATGTAAGTCAGATAACAGATAATCAGAGTTGGAAGGGACCTTGTAAGTCATCTAATCCAGTGGGCTGGGGACCACTGGTGGTCTGTGAGAAAATTTTGGTGGTCCACGGAGAAATGTCCCCCCCCCCAAAGCAATTAATCCAGGCTGCTTGGGAACACAAGGCTGCGCCGCCCACATGGCCTGCCCACTCGCTGGCCCCCATCCTTCGGCCGAGCGCAAACCTTACCTTGAGTAGAGCCACGCGAGCTGGAATTGGAAGGTAAGACCAATGGCGGGGGAAGGAATTCCACCCCAGGGTGGCTTGCTGACGTTGGTAGGAAAGTTGGTCCCATATTCCAGAGCTGCAGTAGTCACAGGATTGGCTCTTTGGTCATCCCGGAGCAGCTGCTCCTCCACCCAGGTGCACTGGCCTGCCATGGACTGGAGGAGCTTTGGGATGACCTGTGACTACTGTAGCTCTGGAATATGGGACCGACTTTCCCACCAATGTCAGCAAGCAACCGTCAGTCAAAATTCATATTAGTGGTCTGCGGGATTTAAAATTATGAGTTTGGTCCCTGAGGTCCAAAAGGTTGGCGACCCCTGGTCTAGCCCAGTGCCCCCACCCAAGTCCTTGATTTACAACCACAGGGGGCGTGCATAAGCGCGCCAATGTGCCTGCCGTCCCTGTCCTGTTGTTTCTTTTTATTTTTCTTATATGTATCCATTTCATGTACTCATAACTATGTCTATACTTATACTGTAATCTTATAATCACTTGACAAAATAAATAAATAACTTACGTTATATAAATAAAAAAATTATGTTGGTAAGGAAGACAGTTGTTAAGTGAGTTTTGCCCCTTTTCATGGCATTTCTTGCCCCAGTCCTTAAGTGAATCACTGTAGTTGTTAAGTTAGGAATACGGTTGTTAAGTGAATTTGGCTTCCCCATTGACTTTGCTTGTCAAAAGGTCATACAAGGTGATTCCATGTCCCCCGGGACATTGCAACCGTCATAAATATGAGTCGGTTGTCAAATGCCTGAATTTTGATCATATGACCATGAGGATGCTGCAGTGGTCGTAAGTGTGAAAATGGTCATAAGTCCCTTTTCTCAGTGCCATTGTAACTTCAAACCGTTGTAAATCAAGGACTACCTGTACGTGTTTTCACCACTGCCACCTTTTTGCTCCTCTATCTTTATTGTTATATTATTGTTTTTTGTCTGTTTGTTTACTTTATGAACTGCTTAGAATCTCTGGGAGTTGGGTGGTGTATACATTTAACAAACATCTTACAAACTTTGTTTCTTATGCCTGGTCACTGTATCTCGCTGAGGAAACCAATACTTTTAGTCCTTGTAGAAAATTTGTGTCTTGCAGTTTGTAATAAAGTAGAAGCCATCAATTCAGGGATTATAACCATGCTCATATTTTGCAGATTTATTTTCTTAAAAGTTGAGACCAAAACAACGAGTCTGAATATTAATTGGTGCCAGAGTTTGGAATCTTCAGACTCAGAAACAGACAGTACTGGTAGTCCTTGACTCATGACCACAATTGATCCCAGAATTTATGTTGCTAAGTGAGGAGTTTGTTAAGTAACCTTTGTCCCATTTTATGTTGCTAAGTGAAAAGTTTGTTAAGTGACCTTTGTCCCCTTTGCCACATTTGTTAAGTGAATCACTGCAGGGTTAAAAGTCTATTTCAAACTAATTGTCTCTGATAAGAACGAGTCTTGCCAATGTTGTGCAAGGCTGCCAAGAACACTAGATAAAGTTACTAAAAAATATTTCAAACACAAAGAGTCTCCAAACACCAACCAAGATATTCCAAATGTCCACAAGGCTTGAGTGCAAAAACTTCCTTGCTTCCTGCAAAGAACTCCAGTTTCTCAGCTGGCTTTTATCTCTTAAGGGAGGGGCCATTACCTTGTAGCCTTACTCCTGAGTCGCCTGTGCTGCTGCAGCTGCTCTTTCCTTTGAGCAGCCCTGTGCGTGCGCGCACTGGGCACAGCCTTCTCGGGGACCTCTTTTGCCAGCCTTCACAATCTCCGAAGGCAGCATTCCACTCCCTGATGGTCCTGGCCCCATCCCTGCATCACACGCAGGCCCCTCATCTGAGTCCACGCTCTTCAAGTCCTCAGCCATCCACACCTGCTGCCGGTGAACCACAATACTTACTTTGCTTGTCAGAAGGTCGTAAAAGATTACTACATGACCCCGGGACACTGCAACTGTCATAAATATGAACCAGCTGTCAAGCATTCAAATGTAAATCATGTGACCATGGAGATGCTGCAAAGTGTGAAAAACAGTCATAAGTCACTTTGTTCAGTATATATACAGTATATACAATATATATATACACAAAATTATATATATATATATATATAAGACGGATACAGTACAGAAGCCTGATGATGGCAGATGAGATTCTGCGAAACGTTGCTACAACTTTAAAAGCACAACTACAATGACGTGGAAAAATACCCGAACAAAGCTGAATGCCTTACATGTAAGTACCCGCGAAAACTTAAGAAAACATATATATATATATATATATTTTCTGAGGTTTTTGTGGGTATTTGTATGTGGATCATTGGTTATTCGGGTTTTCTCCCGCGTAAAATTGGAAGTATCTAGGCGACGTTTCGATGAAGTCTCATTCATCATCTTCAGGCTTGTGTCTTCGGCTTTGTGCTTCTCAGAGTAATGTGAGCTTGCAACTGCTTCTTCCTTTTAATTGCTAGTGGGGGTGTGACTTGATTGGGTGGGGGCTTGGCTGTGTTCTGATTAGGTGGGGGTGTGTTCTCCTAGACCAAATCAACAAAGATCTCCTCACACTTTACCTCAGACTCAGCAACAAGATTCACCCCGCACTTTGGGACAAATCCAAACAACTCGCTGTCTGGAGAGCCGAAACACAGACCACCCTCAAGACAAACACACACATCAACAAACTCAGAAAACTACAACAACGGCAGAAACCAACTCCTCCCCCCTCACAGCCACACATGAAACAAACAGTGCACAACATCTCAGACAAGATCCTCACCGAAGCCGAAACCAATGTCCTTTTGAAAGGATTCAACTTTGCTGTCGCTCCCAAACAAATCCCCACAGAAACCATCATATGCCGAGTTGAAACCAGCTTGACCAAAACCAACCCTGATGATGCTAATAGAATCAGACTCGAAACCATCAACATCCTTTGCACTAGCAAACCACCCAAAAGCAACTTATCCAAAGAAGAACAAACTGCACTACTTAACCTGAAAGAAGACACCAGCATAATAATCCTACCAGCAGACAAGGGCAACATGACAGTGTTATGAACACATCTGACTACCAAACCAAGTTAACCAACCTACTCCAAGACCCCACATACAAACCCCTAAACATAGACCCCACCACCTATCTAGAAAAAACCACCAGATCCAAAATGAAAGCCTCCTCCATCAGCGAAGAAATCCAGCAAAGAATCATACCCAGAGAGAAATCATCCAGATGCCCTAAGCTTTATGGTCTCCCCAAGATACACAAAGAAGGAACCCCACTTAGACCAATAGTCAGCTCTATAGGCTCACCCCTACAACACCTAGCCAAATTTCTCACCAAACAACTACAGCCCTATGCAGAATCCATCAACTCACACGTAAGAAACTAATTCCAGAAACAAAACTTACAACCCAGCGACCTACTAGTGAGCTTCGATGTCATATCCCTCTTCACCCAAGTGCCAATTACAGAAGCCTTGACAGCCATCCAAAACAAATACAACCCCCCCCCCCCACCAAGCACATCCTATATCTGACCAACCACTGCCTGTCCAATACATACTTCACCTACAATGGACAAAAATACAAATAAATAGAAGGAGCACCCATGGGGTCACCCCTCTCACCTGTCATTGCAAACCTCTACATGGAATACTTTGAAACACAAACTCTAGAAAAATATGATCACAAACCCAAACTCTGGCTCAGATACGTAGATGACACCTTCATAATCTGGCCACATGGGAAAGAAAAACTGAACAACTTCCTCACACACCAGCCTACACCCCAAAATACAATTCACCATGGAAACAGAAGCTAACAATCAACTTCCCTTCCTAGATGTCTTAGTATACAAAAAATCCAATGGCTCCCTAGCACACACCATCTACCAGAAGAAAACACATACAAACTGCTATCTACATGCACTCTCACACCACCATCCAGCACAGATCAATTCCGTAGCCGAGACACTCATCTCCAGAACAAAATGCTTAGCCGACGAACAACACCTAAAAACCCAACTACACACTCTCACTAACATACTAACAACCAATGGATTCCAAAGAAAGAAGATTACCCACCTAATCCAAAAAGAAACCCCAACCAAAATCCAAGACAGAGAACAAGAGAACGGCAAAGCCCTCCTCCCATATATAAAAGGCACTACAGACAAAATCAGCAAGATCTTCCAAAAACACAACATTAAAACAGCATTCTGCACAAACTGAAAAATATCCACCATCCTAAGAAACCCTAAAGACAAAATCGAGTTAGAAAACCAAGGAGTATATGAAATCCCTTGCACCGCCTGCCCCACCACATACATCGGACAAACTAACAGAAGACTAAGTGCATGCATTGAAGAAAACAAGAACTCAATCAAAAAAGAAGAACCGACCTCTTCCCTGGTCCAACACCTCAAAACCACAGGACATGAGATTGACTTTAAAAATACCAGAACCATCGCCAAAACCGAACACTTCAACAGCAGAATAATCAGAGAAGCCATAGAGATAGAAAAACGCCCACACAGCATGAACAAACGAGATGACACCTCCCGCCTTCCAGCCATTTGGAAACCCGCCCTCATGAACAAACGAGTACCTAACATGAAGAATGACACCAGACCCACACGCACGAGGGCCACACAAGATGCTACCGCCACACTTCCACGTAGAAAGCAGACTCACACCTAGAAGATGAGACACGACCACAGACCAGAAGCCGTACCGCAGCTACATCACTATCTGCTTCAAACCCCTCCAACCCATACATGAAGCGAACGGACGCCCAACATGAAGATGTGGCAGGACCACAAACGTGAAACAAAACAACAGGATCACAGCTCACCAGCTCAAATCCCCCAGCAACTAAGACTAACCAGAGCACAACCAAGCCCCCATCTGAACAGAACACACCCCCAGCCAATCAGAACACAGCCAACCCCCCAACCAATGAGAACACAGCCAAACCCCCAACCAATGAGAACACATCCCCACCCATTCAGAACACAGCCAAGCCCTCACCCAATCAAGTCACACCCCCACTAGCAGTTAAAAGGAAGAAGCAGCTGCAAGCTCACATTACTCCGAGAAGCACAAAGCTGAAGACACAAGCCTGAAGATGATGAATGAGACTTCATCGAAACATCACCTAGATACTTCCAATTTTACATGGGAGAAAACATGAATAACCAAAGATCCACATGTATGTATGTATGTAAATATGGATGGATGGATGGTATTCAGCTTTGTTGTTCATCTGCCAGAAGCGTGATGATGGTAGATGAGATTCTGCAAAACGTTGCTACAACTTTAAAAGCACAACTATAATGACGTGGGAAAATACCCGAACAAAGCTGAATACCATACGTGTAAGTACCCACGAAAACTTAAGAAAACAAATATACATGTATGTATGTATATGTATATGTGTGTATGTATGTATATATATGTATATGTGTATATAAACTTAAGAAAACATACATACATATTTATATATATATATATATATATATATATATACACACACACACACACACACACACATATATATACATACATACACATAGACACATAGACACATATACATATATGGCATTCAGCTTTGTTCGGGTATTTTCCCACGTCGTTGTAGTTGTGCTTTTAAAGTTGTAGCAACGTTTCGGCAGAATTATATATATATATTTCAAAACATCCATACACCAATTCTCCGGCACTTAAAGTCTTTTTTCATATTCCACAGGAGCAACTTTTCTTAATATATGAGCAAAATAATAAGCTGAAAAAGGAAATTGAAGTCCTTAAGATGAATCTAGCAACAAAGAAAGTGAAACGTGAAGAACTTAGAAGGAGTTTTTCGGTAAACTTGTGCATTAATTAGCTGGCATGCATGTGGGGCTTAATTTGGTGTTCTAAAATACGGTACTTGCTTCATAAACTTACTTCATCCTTCATAAAAGGATTCTTCATCCCTTATTTAAGAAATAATGCCTTTCCCCTCCCTTCCAGGGAATTTGTGCTTTACAAAAAATTAGTATCTTTAGCAATTTTATCCCATTAGACAATTTTTGTGCCATAAGTCTATAACCTAATAAACTTTATAGAAATCTCACTGAACTCTAGAGTTCTTTTTCCCAAGTAAATAGATAAAGACATGCTGCTTCATTATAGTAATTGCTTTTACTTTCTTACTAATACATTGTAGTAGTACAACTATTCAGTCTCAGATGAATCCCAGATTTAAAGCTTTAAAATGTTTGGATACCTTAAGAGACAACATGTAGCTCCTAATTCCTGTTTGAAATTATTCAGCCCATTGGCAAGAAACTGCCTGATTTCCTGCTGATTTTTTTTGTAGAAGATTGATGTGTTATTCTTCCCCAAATCCCTCAAAGAGTGGACAATGCATTGAAAATTCTGTCCGTTATACCTTTGGACAAATGGGAGAGGGAGGGAAAAGTATCTGGTGAAAGCTTCTTAATGACTTTATGTGTCACTGAAATTAGTAAATAAAGAATATGCTTACTTAATATTCTTTTGTCCTAAAAGCTGTCCTCTCCTGCATTATTACTAACATTTCAGCTTCAGCAATGCCTACTTAAAAAGAAAATGAAGTTTGTGCACCTAGAGGAGGCCAAGGATGAAGATGACTGCGCAAACATGTCCTGCTGTTTTCACCTAGCTACAAAAATCCCATTCACAGTGAACCAAGGAGAGGCTCTCATTCAGTTTGAAGAAGAATCTGGTATATGGCGTTCATATTCAAATGTCGTATTTCTTCCTGTTTTAAATAAGAGAGGTTGTATTAAGTGAGCTCTTCATTTTCTGACAAGAACATTTTAGGATCAGTTCAAATATCTGCAATTGATGAATCTGTCTTAACAGGTTTTGATGTTTGAAATTCTAACCTTATCATCCCCACTGTAAAAATGATAAAGAAAATAATTTATAATTTGATGCTCTTTAAGGGCCCCAATCTCTTTACCAGCCTTCCTGTATATGGGTTAGCTATGATATTAAGTGATTGAATTCACACATCAAGTAAGATAGGGCTTGCCTAAAAGTGAATTGTCTATGAGTGATTGGGTTCACACACCGTGCCAAGCTTTGAACCAGAAGATAACACTTTTTTTGTTAAGGAGCCCTTCCATTTTTAAAATTAATTAATTCAAATTTGTTTGCCACCCACCTCACTGTCACATGACTCTGGGTGCCTTACCACCGGATATGACTACTGTATAAAAATTAAAAGAGGAAAACAAGCAATAAATATAATACATTTAATGTTTGGAGAAAGATGGCAAAATATATATTCATACGGCAAGATCATACATACATACATACATACATACATACATACATATATTTATTTATTTATTTATTTTTTAAATTATGTTAAGTCTAGTTAATGCTTACCATTTTTGCCAAAATCAGAAAATGACCCAATTAGAGGGTCAGTGAAAAGGGACAAAGGTGGCTGTTGACTACCTTGCCATAACTTATACACTAAACCAGATTAGATCAGATTATTGCATAGCACGATGTATGAACATAGCCAGTACTGTGGTCAGGGTGGATTTGATTTAAATCAATTTAAATCACGATTTAAATCACTAGTAAAAAGGCTTGATTTAAATCAACTCGATTTAAATCATAATTTTTAAAGAGCAACCGTCATCTCTGTCCCGCAGTGGCTCCTCCTCTGACCCGCTGTTGACTCACGGACAGTCCCAATATTGCAAAATATACAGTCTCGTGCTAGTATAACTAAGCTCCATTGCGTGCTGAATAAACTAAATTATTAAATAGAAAACTACCTTTAGATAGATTTTTTTTACTCCAAAAGCATTTTATTAAAATAAATTTGATAAAAATAAAAAAAAATCCAATTTAAATTAAAAAAAATCAGATTTAAATAAAAAAAATTGGATTTTTTAATTTAAAAGAAAAAAAAATCATCAACTTTTATCCACCCTGGCTTTGGTGAGGCATATTTTTATGCCAATAAAAATAACCTTGCGCCAACTTCTGAATTATGAATATTCTGAGTTGTTAGTGGATCTATTAGTATTCAGTGCAAGAATGGAAAAACACAACCTTTTCAAGTATATTTCCTCAGGGATCTGTTATCCTGCTTTCCTTGGCAAGAAACTTTGACCATTACAGTGTCCTAATTATAGGGGTGATATTATGTTTGAGTTGGGAAACCATGCAAAACTAGCAGCAATAATTGTCAACAAAATCCCATGTTGAAAAAAATCATTGTTGAAACCTTAGCTTCCTCACAATTGTTGATTAATGTGAGTACATGTCTCAAGTGAAATTGAAATATTTAGGCAACGTTCAGTATGGAAACCTGTTAATCTGTTGTTCTTTAGTTGCTCAGCAGCTGATTAGAAAACATAACCATATCATCAACCTGGAAAATAAGGAGGTTGCTTTGAAAGCCTTCCCTGTTGCTTTGGCGATGGGAACAGCATTTAAGGTAATGGCATTATCATGAAAGATGTTAAAATATATCCAAATAATCTGAACTATTCCTTACTGGTAACTGGACCTCCATGCATAGACAGCCTAAATTCAGTTGTCTTTGCCCTACGTAGAAATAAAGATTCTTAAGGTTGGGATAGAGTAAATTTAGGCAGAAGAGTTTTCTCCTTGTATCTTTTTCCTAATCACATAGAAAGAAGACAAGCTTTTTCTTAGAATTTTCGTTCCCCCCTCCCCTCAGATATGTACCTTTCCAGATGTTAGCATCTAATTCAACCAGAAATACACACAGACATAACTGCATCCTTTTTCCTGAGCATATCTTGTTATGATACTATGTTCTGTTGGCCAAACTTTGGATTGAGAGTTTATTGGCAAAGATTGTCTGTAGCTCTAATTTAAATATTGTTTTATGAACATTCTCTGGTCTTTATTATAAAAAGGGAGTATACATGCTTATTGACTAAATTTCATTGGGCTTATCAAGGATTTATCTTCTTGGCAACAAATATAGAAATTGATTCCCATTGTCTTAACAGTTAACAGATAATCAGAGTTGGAAGGGACCTTGTAGGTCATCTAGTCCAACCCCCCCTGCCCAAGCGGGAAACCCTACACCATTTCTGGCAAATGGCAGTCCAATCTCTTCTTGAAAGTCTCAGGTGATGGTGCTCTCACAACTTCCAAAGTCAAGCTGTTCCATTGGTTGATTGTTCTCACTGTCAGAAAGTTTCTCCTTATTTCCAGGTTAAATCTCTCCTTGTTCAGTTTCCATCCATTATTTCTTGTCTGGCCTACAGGCACTTTAGAAAATAGCTTGACCCCTTCCTCCCTGTGGCAGCCCCTCAAATATTGGAAGACTGCTATCATGTCTCCTCTGGTCCTTCTCTTCACTAGACTAGCCAAGCCCAGTTCCTGCAACCGTTCATTGTATGTTTTAGCCTCCAGTCCCCTAATCATCCTGGTTGCTCTTCTCTGTACTTTTTCTAGAGTCTCAACATCTATTTTATAATGTGGTGACCAAAACTGGATGCAGTACTCTAGGTGTGGTCTTACTAAGGCTTTATAGAGTGGTATTAGTACTTACCTTGATCTTGATTGTATCCCTCTGTTAATACAACTTGGGACTGCATTAGCTTTTTTGGCTGCTGCTGCACACTGCTGGCTCATATTTAGCTGATTGTCCACTAAGACTCCAAGATCCCTCTCATAGTTACTGCTGTTGAGCCTGGATTCACCCAGTCTATCTATATGTGTACTTTTGGTTTTTCTTGCCTAAGTGTAAGACTTTACTTTTCTCTACATTGAATTTCATTTTATTAGATACGGCCCAGTGTTCTAGTCTGTTAAGATCCAGATGGATCTTGAGCCTATCTTCTTGGGTGTTAGCTATTTCTGCCAGCTTAGTATCATCTGCAAATTTGGTGAGTTCCCCTTCTGTTCCCTCATCTAAGTCGTTAATGAAGATATTGAAGAGTACTGGGCCTAAGACGGAACCTTGTGGCCCCCCACTGCTTACTTCCCTCCATGTAGACTTAGACCCATTAAGGATTACTCCTTGGAGTATGGTTTGCCAGCCAGTTGCGAGTCCATCTGGTGGTGGTGCTATCTATTCTTCTTTCAGCATGTTTTTTGAGTTCCCACTCTAAACTACAGTTTTGATGGTATTAACCATGTCTGGCTCTGCTAGTGTTTTCAAAGTCAGCTGTTACAGCGAACAAATATTGTAGATGGAAATTATACTAATGCAGGGTTTAATGATGGTTTGTTGAATAAATCACTGTGTATTTAATGCTAATGTATTAACAGAGCCTGGAGGGGGAAAATTGTGCTGGGCATACAAACCACATTGAGCCATAGTTGCATTATGCTTTGTTGGGTAACTACAGTTTTAGCTTAGTATATTGTACAAATCATCACACTATCTCAATGCAACTGTTACGTTTCTGTCTTAAAATCTTGAGGAATAATTTAACTCTTGACTATTATAGTATTTTTTTTAAATTAACGCTGACTGTATCTTTTGTATAGTTCAGCCTTTCCCAGTTCCCTTGTCCATAACTCCCAAATTTCGTGCCAGTATGAACAGAGAACTCTGGGAAAGAGAAAACCTTGGAAGGAAAGGCAGTAGAGATAACGAGAAAAGGTTCTTCCCAATCAGAAATTGATCATAACATGTTTTGAATAGTTGCACCTATCATTTTTTTTTTACGTGCATAATTTTGACACTGGCTTGTATTGTTTTTCCAGATCCATGTTAAGCTCTCTCAAAAGGAGATTTATGTTTCTAACATCCCAAACGTAAACATTGCTAAGGAATGGATGAGAGAGAAATTGGAGCTCCTTTTCTACAAATCGAAACTGGGTGAAATTCAGTCGATATTATATGATTCATCCCTACAAGAGGCCATTGTTACCTTTTGTCAGCCTATAGGTAATTTTTGAATTATTCTGCCGGTTTATTTTTAGGTTATGGTCTGTAATCAGCCTTGCTCGCTTGACTTTAAGCACATAGTCTTAGAACAGAGGCCACATCCATCCCTGTGGCTGTGACTGTCTGGCCCACGTAAGGTCAATCAGAAATTAGAAGTGAAATATATAAATAAGTAGGCCAGAAGAGCTACAATTTCACATACAAGAGCTATACAAAGCAGGAGAACCATTTGGCTTAAAAATATGGATCGATGACAACAGCAAGTATTGCAGGCCCAACTGGCAAAAGAAAGCTCAGGACCACATTGGTTAGAAGCAGGCAAAAGAGACCCGCATCCTGCAGTGAATAGATGATGGCTAAAATGATGGTGATGATGCCATGCATGCAATACAACGGTGTTGCTTTTATTTTGAAGATGACTGCTATTTGTTTTTCAATTGATGTACGTGCATGCGTGTATGCCTATGGACCTTTACAGCCCTATTGGTTTGGCCTTCCACAGCAGTCCCAGTTTATCATGTGGCCTCTTGGGAACATTAATTACCCAGCCCTATCTTAGAAGAAACTAGTTGCTTAAGCCTTGTCCCAAGTCCAATGTGGTTTTATGCTAGCAAGCACATGGATCACTATGTAGGATGACTTTTAAAGCTGACTGGGAACAATGGAGTCCCTGAGGATCACTCTATTTTTAAACTATGTACACTATCCCCCATCATTCTGTCTCAAATATTTCACATGCATCTAGCCAGCCAATTATTACGGCATTTCCGGTCTTACTAGTTGTCATCAACAAGTATTGCTCATTTTGTAAGCAGGTCTATGGATGTGAAAATATTTTACTCTGTTCATCCCTGAGCTATATACATTCTCTTCTGTCGGCATTTCAATATCTACACTATGCCATTTTCTTCACTAGAATGCAAAGTAGCCTTCTACAACTGGATTTTTCCAGATGTTTTAGAAAACACTGCCACAGCTGTTGCCATCTGGCTAATGAATGAAGAAAAACATAACCTGTATTATCTGGAGGTACCAGGTGCTACACAAGATTTTTCTGTTAATGTTACATTTCAGCTTGTTTACTTTGGATTAAATTCCACTGGACTTTTGTGAGTTACAGGTAGATCTGTCTAGAATTGCACTACGCTATTACTAGGCTTGTGATGAATATTTTATTACTAAATTTGCCTTATAGTCTGGTCCACTGGTGGCTTATATTGAAATAAATACCTTTATGTCCCATAGTTTCCTAAATAAGTATCTATACTATTTAAAATATATGAGAAACTCTAATGTTTAGGGTTTAATTTATTTAAATTTTAACCAGCCATTTTCAGATGTGGACCTCTTCATATAATTCATTTCTATTTTTTTTATTCTAGCTCTTAATAAAATAATAAGTTATGGACAATACAGTATCAATGTGTTTGGAAGGACTCATTTTCTCACTGTTTCACCCCTCAGAAAAAGCAATGTGGAAAAAGTTCAGGTAAGTAACAGAATAATCAACCATGGCAGGCAATTCAGCAGCTGAATGAACCTGTTGCAATAATAGCAATAGCACAAACTTATATATCGCTTTATAGAGCTCTTCAGCCCTCTCAAAGCGGTTTACAGAGTCATCCTATTGCCCCCAACAATTTGGATCCTCATTTTATCCACCTCGGAAGAATGGAAGGCTGAGTCAACCTTGAGCCTGGTGGGATTCGATCTGCCAAATTGCAGTGGGAGTAGTTTGCAGTACTGCACTCTAACCACTGCGCCACCGAGGCTCTGTGTAGCTGTGGGCTACTGAATAAGCAACATAGATTACAAGATCAGGTTTTCAGACATGAGCAACGTAATTGTGTGAGGTGCTGACAGTATCAAACTGTAACAGGGTCAGTGGCATCCACCCAACGGGAAGTAAGAATTAGAGTTTATTGCTTTCGAATTGTGATGTTGGAGATGACTCTTGAGAGTCTCTTAGACTGCAAGGAGGTAAAAGTCTGTCAACCTTAAAGAAAATCAACTCTGACTGTTCTTTGGAAGGATAGATATGAAGCTGAAGCTCAAATGAGAAAAGAGGATTCCTTGGAAAAGGCCCTGATGTTGGGAAAAATTGAAGGCAAAAGGAGAAGGGGACTGCAGAGGATGAGGTGGTTAGGACCATTGATACAATAAACATGAATTTGGACAGTCTCTGGGAGACAGTAGAGGATGGGGGAGGAGGGACTGGCATGCCATGGTCCACGAGGTCTCAAACAGTTGGACACGACTTAGTGATTGAATAACAAAAACTTTGTTTATTTGCGAACATAGCTTGAGTGTTTCCCGCTGCTTTATTTGGGTCAGGATAAAGTTGTATCGAGAAGAAATATGCTGATGATCACATTAGGCTGAAAAGGGAAAATGTGCTATGACCTGGATGGCGATTCCTTGCCAATTTTGTTTCATTAGGATCACAGCAGGGGAGCAAATGGTTCATTTCCCAGCCTTCCCCTGCTGTGATCCTGTAATACATGGCTATTTTAGAAAGGGCATGTGAGGTGCAGCTGCCTTACATTTTGTTGGTTCTTGAACAGTGCATTTATATTTTGTAATCAGTAGAAAAATGAGAGGGTGTATTTATCTCTTCGTGATGGTTTCTTTCAATATTAGCTTTCTCCAAGGAAGACTATCGAAGTAACATATGGTATGTTTCTTTTTTGTGCCAGATGTTTTCAGGGACTTCCAGTAAAGCTGTACTCTTAATAGGAATCGTTGCAGAACAGAAAGATGAGGAGAATGTGGAAGACATGATTGAAATTCACTTCCAGAAACCCAGCAATGGAGGAGGTGAAGTGGATCGAGTGACCTATATTCCCAAAGGAACGAAAACTGCCTATTTTGAGATAGATAAAGCGGATTTTATATGAGAGCCTTGAAGACGTGGACCAGGGGTCCCCAAACTTGGCAACTTTTAAGACTTATGGACTTCAATTCCCAGAATTTCCCAGCCAGCTATGCTTAAATTAAATTTGCCAAGTTTGGAGGCCTCTGATGGAGACTGTCTCAGCTTCCTATTATGCCAAGAGTTTAATCATTGAATACTAAACCTGCAGTTGTTTACGAGCGAAGCTGCTTCTAACAAAAGCTTTGAACACCCTTGTTAAAAGTCTCCTTGTTTGAGTAGTTTTTTTTTAAAATGTTGAAATCATGAGACTTAATTTGTGATCTAATCACAACTCACACCAGTGCTTATAACGCAAATACTCAATACCAACTGCATTTGGCATAATTGTAGGAACTGGCTGAGATGGTAAAAGTACTACTTTGATTAAAGAAAAGAGTTGTTTGTTTTTACATGGAAATCATTTTGGACTTTTTGCTACAAACTAAAATATTTAATTTTAGGATTTGATGATTAGAAATATTCATGATTATATGAATACCGAGTTTGAAATTTAAAACAAAAGGTTGATGCATTTTATATCTGTAACTACTGAAGAAAGAAGCTATTTTTTTCTCACCTTTTTATTCCTTTGCACCTTCTCTTCCCTTATCTTTTTCCTTAGTATTTTTTTGGTTGGTTGGTTTTTACATTTTATCTTTTTATAGAAATTTAATACAGCAAAAAAAAAACCACAATGGCTTATACTGTAACCATGATTGTTTCTATTAGAAGCCCAGAATTGTATAATCTCCATTTTATTTACGGTACTTGAATCTCAATAAATTTCACAAGTCAAAACTATTTGGAATGATTTAATTTTTTAAATAAACGTTGTCCAGAATAGGCTATAGATACATGTTATAATCAAATTAAAATCTATTATTACTTCATCAAAAGATGCTTTTCATGAGACACATCCAAAAGTCAAAGTCGCAGCATATATTCTAAGACTTGCATTATTCTAGTGGGTGATCTAATATGTCACAGGCATCGCTTCTTGGCCTTTTGGCTAAGATCAAGTGTAGTCACATGTCACAAGCTTGAGTATCATTTCTAAGCCATGATTAAATGAACAGTGATGCTTAATGAACTTAAAACCATTGTTGACAAGTCATATGGCTGAGTTCATCATATGCTCCAGCAAATTAAACCCATAAAATATAACCGGGGAGACATAGAAGCAGGGGGTGGGCTGCTGGAGGTTCGCATGGGTTTGGGAGAGCCCCTACCTAAGATTCTCTGCAGTTTGAGGAAGCCCCAAATCCCAATCCTGGCTGGCCCTGCCCACCCCACCCTTCCCAGGAGTCCCCACGTGGCCTGTTTTGGACGCAGGTAAGTGCAGGGCACACCTGGAGGTTTGGGGATGGTGAAAAACAGGCCTCCCGGAAGTTCGGGAAGGCCAGAAATGGGCCTGTTTCTGGCTTCCAGAGGGCCTCTGGAGCTCAGGGAGGCCGTTTTAGCCCTCCTGGAGGCTCGAGGAAAGCCTCCGGAGCCCGGTTTGGCCCTCCCGTGCCATGGTGCAGGAGGCCGACTAGGCCCACCATGGCCACGGCCACCCAGCAACCAGGCAGAGAACCCGTTGCTAAATTTTTTGAAGCCCACCCTTGCACAGAAGCCCAGCCTTAGAGGAATATGTGAGAAAGTCTGAAAAGATCTGGGCTATAGTTGACAACTCAAAATAGGCTTCGGCTCTTGCAAAGGGATTATATTACAGGTAGGACTTGACTTAACAACAGTTCATTTAGTGACCACTCAAAGTTACAACGGCAATTAAAAAAAGTAACATGATCATTTTTCACACAGTTACGACCGATCAGGTGCTCAAAATGCAGATGCTTGGCAACTGGTTCATATTTATGATGGTTGCAATATCCTGGGGTCACGTGATCACCTTTTGTGACTTGACAAAGTCAATGGGGAAGCCAAATCCACTTAACCAAGTTACTAACTTCACAATTGCAGTGATTCACTCATCAATTATGGCAAGAAAGGTCATAAAATGGGACAAAACTCACTTAACAAATGTCTCACTCAGCAACAGAATATTTTGGGCTCAATTGTGGTCTTAAGGATTACCAGTATATGGATCCCAATGGTCCAGTGGGCGGGAAAGATGGATCTGTCTTGTCACAACTTTTGATCGCCTTTTAAAAGTTAAATATATGCAGATGACGGGTGTGTTCTCTCACGCTTTGCCCAGATCATAGTTAATGCTATAGTCCATGAAAAAAATGGACAATAGGAACAGGAGGCAGAACGATATATTGAGTCTGTTTATGGGTGCAAATTCTTATGGAAAAGAACTAACGCTCTTCTAAAGTTTGTCTTGCATTTTTGTTTTTTTAACTCTGCAAAAAACTGCAGCTTCTAGCACTTAAACCTTTTAACTAGGATGCAATGGAAAGAGCAGGAAGGGACAGAGCAGGAAGGCTACAGATAAGAATTTTTTACATGACAGGCAGTACCACATGAAAAGTCCAAAATATAAATTGGACAGTCATTGACCTAGATTGATTCCCTCCTCCCATTCAAGGCATCTCTGCTTTATTTTATATTAGTTCAAGAAAGCCCTATCAAAACTCCCTTTACCCCCTTCCTTTTGGAGAAAAACACATGCAATACAGTATTTGGTCCAGTGGTGGGATTCAACATTTTTTAGCACTGGTTCTGTGGGCGTGGCTTGGTGAGCATGGTGTGGCTTGGTGGGCATGGCTTAGTGAGCATGGCAGGGGGAGGATACTGCAAAATCTCCATTCCTCCCCACCCCACTAATCTGTTTTCCAGCTCCGTTCTCCTGTGCAGGGCAACAAAAGAAGACCCAGCCAATCAGCTGGGACTCGGGAGGCAGAGAATAGATGGGGGCAGGGCCAGTCTGAGGTGGGATTTGCCGGTTCTCCGAACTACTCAAAATTTCCACTACTGGTTCTCCAGAACTGGTCAGAACCTGCTGAACGCCACCTCTGATTTGGTCCTCTGGTACAGTTGGAAAACAGAAAAATACTCCAAACATTATTTTGCATATACAGTTACTGCTACAGTATTTCCAGGGGATTGGAAAGAAAATTAAAATAAAACACATTACAGTAAAAATAAAATACAGCTCCTACCTAGGTCAACAACAGCTAATATGCTACGCTGGTAGCCAGCCAAAAGTGTCAACCCCTCTAAATAGCATCAGCAAGAAAGGATTTACCAACTCTATATCATCTAAATAAGAATAAATAAACCTGCTAGATCAACAATAGCCACTAAGATGAAGGCACTACAGTAAATAAAATGCTTGCCCTGAGCAATAATACAGCAGTAGATACAGCTGTTTGTCATTAATTTGACTGCTTTCTGCTTCCAAATACTCTAAAGGAAGAAAAATCTTGGAATAAAAAAAGCCTTTGAAAACAATAAATCAGCATGCAATATTGTTAAATATAATTAAAAGAGGCAGAGGATGGACTGTGCATGCCAACATGAAAACGTCTACTGTACTTGTTTAGCAAAATCTGAGGGAAAATTAAAGGCAAATGTAAGTCACTGCTTTATTGGGGAGGGGAAGTTTTCCTTGTTAGGCAAACACAAGTTTTGCTCTGTTGGTCCTGCACATAACAGCAACGAAAACATTCATCCATTGTCCCTGGATTGTCATGCAATTACCTGGGCTTTGGAAATCGATCATTGGAAGCAGTGGTGGGATTCAGATTTTTTTTTACAGATTTTTTTTTACTTTTTTTCTGTCAATGTGGCTTGACGCGCATGGCAGGAGAAGAATACTGTAAAATCTCAGAGGTGGTATATGCCAGTTCTCCACTCAAAATTTCTGCTACTGGTTCTCCAGAACTGGTCAGAACCTGCTGAATCCCACCTCTGTGATTGGAAGCGTGGGTGGCTTCTGAGGTACCAGAGGTTGGTCACATGACTGGAGACCTTGTGAATGTCCAAAAGGGCCACTGATTTTGATGTGGGCTAATCTTGCTTGTAAGATCATGGGACCATATTGGGGTCATAATTTTGGCATGCAGTTGGAAGCTTACTTTTGGGGTGCCCTTGCTAATCTGAATGGACATTAAGTGTCTAGTTGTAAGTCGAGGACTAACATATCGGGGAACCAAAAACGCAATTCGGAAGAGTCAGAGTCAGTTTAACATCATGTTAAATACAATGTCCATTCTGTAATTGATTGCTTCAAGTGTTTTTAAACATCAGAAGCTGATAAGAATTAGCACTGAGTTTAAATTAAAAGTTTGCAAACTCTCTTTGAACTCGTCCCTTCACTCAAGAGGAGACAGAATATTAAACATTTTGATTCTTGTCTTTTTCTTCTTCTTTAATTGCTTTCCTACAGAAGGGCCCGTAGGCACTATGGTTCTGCTTTGCTTTCTGAAACAAAACTCCAGTGAATAGAGGTTAAGGACCTTGTCTAGATATGAGGCAAAATTAACTTGGTTTGCAAAATGTCAGCTTTTTGGTTTCCGTGGGTGTCCTTGTCCTGATGTATCAATGATGCACTTTTTACACAATCACCCACACACAGCTCTTGATGTTGAATGAGGACATTCATTTCTCATGTAGTTTCTCATTTTCCTCATTACAGGTGCTTTTCTTCTTGCCAGTGTCTGAAGTGAAATTGGTGAGGTTGTAAGATTAAGATGGTGTGTCTTCCATTAAAATTGAGACCCTACACTACAAGCTCACCAGGGCCTCCATATTATTGTGCTGTTGTTTTTTTAGAACAGCAGCAGAAACTTGTTCTGTTAACCATGAATAATTGTTCTTGAATCCGCATTTCTACTGAGAATGAACCAAAAGATCATGCGCGCATGCACACACACACACGAGCAAATTATTGACTTCTGCATACTCAAGGTAGTGTAAGGCAGGCAGGTGGGTATTAGGACAAAAGAAAATTCAGATATGAGAGCTGGAATTCAGAATCGATCTGAAAGTAAAGATTATACCCCTTTATGGACTTTTTATGTAAAGCAGAAAAAAATGAACTTCTGATTTATGATTTTAATGATTAGACAGGATAGATTTTAGAAAGAAAAGTTTGTTGTAACCATAGAGTAAGAGATAAATTTATAACTATTGTAAAGAAGATCAGAAGCCACCACTTTGTACTTTCCCCCTTTCTATTTCCTTTCATTATTCACTTTTTTGCATTTTTAGCTATTTCTTTTCTTTTTTCATTTTACTTAATATCAGTTTGTATTAAACAGGTAGTCCTCAACTTACGACCACAATTGAACCCCAAATTTCTGTTGCTGAGCAAGACAGTTATTAAGTGAATTTTGCCCCATTTTACAATCTTTCTTGCCACAATTGTTAAGTGAATTGTTGCAGCTGTTCAGTTAGTAACACGGTTGTTAAGTGAATCTGGTTTCCGCATTGACTTTGCTTGTCAGATGGTCCAAAAAGGTAATTGCGTGACCCCAGAACACTGCAACTGACATAAATAGGAACCAGTTGCCAAGCATCTGAATTTTGATCTATGGGGATGCTGCAATGGTTGTAAGTGTGAAAAATGGTCATTAAGTTACCTTTTTCACTACTGTTGTAATGAAAACAATCAGTTATAAGTCAAGGATTATCTGTAGTGTTTATGTTCCATTTCTTTTTAAAAATCTTTAATTATATATAAAAATGAAAATAGACATTGGATGCATCAGTTAGAGTAAATGGCAATAGTTAGGATCAAAAATGAATGGCTGACACTTGCATCCCTTGTATCTTGAAGATATAAAAGTTGTAAGAGACTCCAG